CTTTATTTATCCATTTCTGGGTCGGGACGGACATCAGAGCTGCCCCCAAGTCCCTCACTGATCCTGCAGGTGGGGGGTTCTCAAGTAGATGCTGCTCCTTCAGCGGGGAATTCAGGCAAAGTGTGGTTAAGTGCCTTAGTCAGGGACTCAAGAGAGATCAGTGGGAGCATGGGTTGTGGGGGGATTGAAAACACGACCATCAGGTCCAAAGACCAGTGCTCTACCAACTGAGCCCCTATGTTTTGTAATCAATTAATCTCGATTAATTCAATTTTAATCGCATTTAAATATTTGTCATGAAAAACGTGGGAAGTAATTTTTTTTTCACATGGATTTTTAGTTTACCATTGTTTAATGGACTGTATTAATTAGCTTAAGCAACACATGTTCATTGTGGAGGATCAGGACGGATCTTTTCCATCCAATAACGTTTCTGTCATCGCCTCCACTCACTCTGTCCACAAATACACTTCTTAAACCAAAATCCACTGCACTCGAAGTGAGTACAAAAGTTATAATAGTTTTTGATGTGTGCATTCGAACTAAAAACTTTCATTCTGTAGCGGCACTTACAATCATAGTCGAAATCACTGTGAAGGACGTATATTATAGATCCATGGTGAAAGACATATGTTTACAAAGCATTGGACCCCAGTCCTCAGCCCTGGTTTGATCCTGGTTTAGCTCCTGTTTTGGTTGTTTTGAGACTGGTGTCCTGTGATCACTTTGCTGCTCTCCTGATGTGGCGGGCGAGGATCGCTGCTCGTGAACAGTGCAGTAAACCGACTGCAGCAGTGAACAAGTTTTTAAGGCAGTATGATCCATGCTTCAGTGATCAGAAGTCGCACGTTTCATTAAATGCGATCTTCCAATACTACCTTTGCGATTGACGTATTGAGCACCCCTGAATAAAACCATCTACTAGTTAGAATCAAGGATCTATTTATAATAAAACTGGATAGGTATTACTGCTTGTAGATGAAGAACCCATGTGCTCAGGGGATTCTCGCGGTACTGCAGAACTGAACCAGTCTTAAATTCAGTGCGGCTACCCAGAAATTTTACCATAGAAACTAATGGCTATTAAAAACAGCTTCAAACCTCAGCTGACGGAGAACCTACACTGATTTTCGGGATTAGTGTGGGGATCTTATAGCGTCCTTGTCATCCTGAACTTTTTTTCTTCTTAAATCCTTTCTGGGTTTTGTTTAAATCCACACTTTAGTGCCACAAACTCTGTCGGTCTGGCTCTCGCTCTAACTCCCGCCTCTAATGACCACTGCTCTGATTGGTTCAGAGCGCGGCCGAGGCCCCTATGTGCACGTTTAGCGTGAGGACCCGGTTTTGGGACCACACACGCGTGTGTGGTGCAAGCATTTATGGGAGATCATTCCATGCGCAGAACCGGGAGGACCGACGGTTGCCCAAATACAAGGCGAGTTTTCCCATAGATCTTTGCACGTTTCAGGCAAACTTCCGCTAATTTTTTCAGCCCCATGCTGTCACAAAGCGCAATCTGAGCACAAACCATTCATTTGAATAGGGCGGCCATCTGGATCGCGGGGCTTGGTATAATGTACTTTTGAACCAACAAAAGTCACGGAGCTCAGTGGGTGTGCGCCATTATAATCGGTTCCGTCTGAAATACATCGCCTCAGTGAGAGACCGTTTCGCGGTTGGAAAAAAAACACATGCGATAAAATGCGTTACAATTTTTAACGCACTACTTTTTTGTTGGCGTTAATTAATCGGTGTGTGTGTGTACGTGTATGTGTGTGTGTGTCTGAGTGTGTGTGTGTGTGTGTGGGAGTATGTGTGACAGTAGATAACAGGATTACAGGGTCTGCAGTCCTCAGGGAAACACACATGAACAGCGTCACATCAGAAGCAGAAAAACCTGTTAAATGGAATCTGGAAAACGACAAGAAATTATCAGTTCATAAAATGTTTGCGTTTGTAATTAAGAAAAAAAGACAATAGTCATTTATTTACGGATTGAGGAGATTCTTCATATGTCCCACAGTGGAAAAATAACTCTATACTAAAATTAAATACAATTTCTAGCTTTAACAATAATAAAGAAGCAAGTGTGAAATCTTCAACTTTCTCAAAGGGTTACTGACTCAAAACTGAAAGAATATGGAAAAAGGTGTCAGTATTTGAGTTCACGTGGGTGGCTGAGTGGTTAGCAGCTCCTCTGGGTTCAAATCCCAATCCGAACATGGTATTTCTGAGTGTGGTTTGCATGTTCTCCCCGTGTATGCGTAGGTTTGCTCCAGGTGTTCCGGTTTCCCCAACCTCCAAAAACGTGCTATACTGTAAGTGAAATCCTCCTGCTCTGGCCCTGATCAAACATCTGGAGGCGGGACCCTGTTACTACGGCGACAATTTGTTACCCTGGTCCTGCACAAGTAGAACCACTGCACAAGACCAGGAGAACCAGACCTGGAGAGACCAGAGACAGAGAAACCAGAGAGAGACCAGAGGTGGAGAGTACGAGTTACTCCTGCTCATGTTTGGGACGTCCAAGGTGCGAGCCACAAGCAAGAGCAATCCAATATGGCGGCGTATTCCGACCAATCAGAGCTGCTGATCAGAGCGGAAGAAAACCAGCAGAGTTTTCTTCCCGCTCTAGCTCCGCTCTGATCAGCGCGGAGCTAGAGCGGGAAGAAAACCAGCAGAGTTTGTTGCAGTAAAGTGTGTATAGAAAACTGAAGGATTTAACAAGAAAAAAAGTTCAGGATGACAAGCAACAAAATCCCCACATAATCTGACCTTTATGAAAGCCGTAGGTTCTCTGTCAGGTTCTCTGTCAGCTGAGGTCCAGCTGTTTTAGTTTACATTGAGTTCTATGGGACATTTTTCTGGGTAGGCCGCATGAATTTATTCTGCAGTAACAAGAGCGCCTCCTGTGCCCGTGGGTGGGACAGCTATAGGCTAGTAATACTCTATCCATTTTTTATTATAGATTAAGGGGCACACATCTTGGAGAGTCCAGGCAGAGACATCTTGGAAAAACCAGGTACAGACATATTGGAGAGAACAGGGACAGACATGTTGGAGAGACCATAGACTGTATATATTAACGGACGTAGTCACGCCTATCTCCACCGTTCTAACTAATGGGCCAAAAATTGGGCTTTCATGGAGTGATTCAAAATGGCCGCAAGGGTTGGAAAATGTGAAAAAACTCATCTGCGCATGCGGTAGCCGCACGAGCCCCATTTATTTAAACAAGTGCCTTCAAAAATTCACAGCGAGTAAACTAGACTGGTCCAAAAAAGATCACCCCCCTCAGCATTGACACACATGTGGAACGGAGCTTTGGGCCAAGAGCCGACTTTTTGACCATCCTGTAAAGGTGTTTTCGAGAGGTGAGAAGATGCTATATGTTAGCATTGGCTAATTCTTACTCCGGGTCCACCCCCATCGGCCCGGGGTGGTATTGCAGCGTGTCAGCGCACGTCATTTTGGCCACTTTTGAGCCGGGACCCGCCCCCACTGGGAGAGACCAGGGACAGACATGTTGGAGAGACCAGGGACAGACATGTTGGAGAGACCAGGGGCAGACATGTTGGAGAGACCAGGGGAAGACATGTTGGAGAGACCAGGGACAGACATGTTGGAGAGACCAGGGGCAGACATGTTGGAGAGACCAGGGGCAGACATGTTGGAGAGACCAGGGGCAGACATGTTGGAGAGACCAGGGACAGACATGTTGGAGAGACCAGGGGCAGACATGTTGGAGAGACCAGGGGCAGACATGTTGGAGAGACCAGAGACAGACATGTTGGAGAGACCAGGGGCAGACATGTTGGAGAGACCAGGGGCAGACATGTTGGAGAGACCAGGGGCAGACATGTCGGAGAGACCAGGGGCAGACATGTTGGAGAGACAAGGAACAGACATGTTGGAGAGACCAGGGACAGACATGTCGGAGAGACCAGGGACAGACATGTTGGAGAGACCAGGGACAGACATGTTGGAGAGACCAGGGACAGACATGTCGGAGAGACCAGGGACAGACATGTTGGAGAGACCAGGGACAGACATGTCGGAGAGACCAGGGACAGACATGTTGGAGAGACCAGGGACAGACATGTTGGAGAGACAAGGAACAGACATCTTAAAGACCCGAGGCTTGACTTCCTCTCGCTCCACGATGTGCAGAGTGAGAGTAAAGTGCTTGTGGTAAAGTGCCGGTGCTCAGCAGCTCTTTCGCAGCCTGACGGCACCTGTCATCCCCTGTCACTCACTGTGTGGGCGAGAAAGAGAAAGAGACCTCCTCCCAGCATGCACCTCTGTGACAGAGACCTCTTCCCAGCATGCACCTCTCCGACAGATCCCACTCAGCAGCTGTCACGGTGTGTGGAAGACAGACACATGAGGAAGGAGACTGAACTTTTAAATCTCAAACTACTCAAACAAACCAATATGCACCTGACAACACAGAAAGAAAGTGGTCATGGGAAAAACTCTGATGATCCTGGACATTTAAGGAAGTTTATTTACATTTCTGTCACGTGTTGGAAAAGAGGAAGGACTCAAAATACAGGAAAGCAAAAAATAATGAATGGATAATGATGATAGAATAAGAATCCAGCAAAAAACAAACTTGAAAATGTGTGTGTGGGGGGGGGTCTATGTGTGTGTGTGTGTGTTTTTTGTCCTATGTGTTTGTCTTGTTCTCTATTAATTGTGTTATCACTTCTCGTCTGTTGCATTGAGCCTTTTGAAAACCCTGTGTCAAACATGAGTTATTTCCTGTCTCTCTCTGGGCTCTTCCTCCAAACAAATAAACAAATAGAATAAAAGTTTGAGCCTCCGCACGTGTTAATAAATAAATCCAGGGCATTATTAGTTTGGGAACAGAGCAGCCGCCTCGGTGCGAATCCCTACAGCTCTGAGGAAGCTCGGGTCGAACACCTGCCTCCACTGCACTTTTTAATTAGAGCAGATAAGAAACGTGCAGGTGAGAGATACAGCAGAACGAGCAGAACATGCAAAACATACAGAACGAGCAGAACATGCAAAACATACAGAACGAGCAGAACATGCAAAACATACGGAACGAGCAGAACATGCAAAACATACGGAACGAGCAGAACATGCAAAACATACAGAACGAGCAGAACATGCAAAACATACAGAACGAGCAGAACATGCAAAACATACAGAACGAGCAGAACATGCAAAACATACAGAACGAGCAGAACATGCGAAAGATACAGAACGAGCAGAACATGCAAAACATACAGAACATGCAGAACCTGAGCCGTGTTCAGAGACCTCAAAGTCACATCTGAACCTTTTGACGGACACAATATGAGAAAAGTCAATTCAATGAATTTTTGTACAGCCCTAAATCACAGCAGCAGTCGTCTCCAAGGACTTTACACAATTGTGGATTCCTCAACAACAGATCAGAGAATCAAGCACAGGAAATGTGTTAATAACAAGCACATCGAAGCCTTTGGGCTACATGATCATCTCTGTCCTTAGACTCTCCTGCATCAGAAAGGAACCACTCAGGACTGAAAAAACTGTGGAAAAAAGTGAGATCGGACTGAGGCTGTAGATCCAGGACTGAGGCTGTAGATTCAAGACTGAGACTGTAGACCCAGGACTGAGGCTGAAGATCCAGGACTGAGGCTGTAGATCCAGGACAGAGGCTGTAGATCCAGGACTGAGGCTGAAGATCCAGGACTGAGGCTGTAGATCCAGGACTGAGGCTGAAGATCCAGGACTGAGGCTGTAGATCCAGAACTGAGGCTGTAGATCCAAGACTGAGACTGTAGATCCAAGACTGAGACTGTAGATCCAGGACTGAGGCTGAAAATCCAGGACTGAGGCTGAAGATCCAGGACTGAGGCTGAAGATCCAGGACTGAGACTGCAAAAAAAAACCAAAAAAAATTCTAAATAAACTTTTCTATTTTTGCTGCTACTGGACACCTGAATTTCTCCTACGTGGATCAATAAAGTATCTATCTATCTATCTATCTAATTAAATCAATTGTGTTTGTCTTCCTGAGTTTTGGGTCCTCCTTTATCCACCATGTGCCAGTCCGAGTCCATGAATCATGAGGTTTTCTGCTCTCTACAAACCGTGCAGAGGTCTCGCAGCTCATCGTGAGTGAAAACAAGCCTCCGAACTCGTCCCGAAGGAAAAGAAATATGCTTATCTTAGCTCGGTTACTCCACGAGCTCCGGACAGTGGCCCAGGGGAGACGTGGCTCTTTGATAGACTCCCAGTGTTTAATAATGCATGGTGATATCCCGAGGAGCCCCCCGGCAAAGTGCTGCGCCGAGATATGAAGTGCTTTTGACCTTGTACAACACGAGTCGCCCGGTGTTTCTCCAAGACTCCATAAAAATCTTCACGGTCGCTTCGTAAAAAGTACCGAGCGGTGATAAATTATGATCGTAGTTTTCAGTTTTTGTGGTGGGCTCCGACGGTCGCGCTTTTCTCCTCGTTTAAAGTATTCATTTTCTCTGATGAAAAGTGTTTTTAGTTTGTGTTGCTGCGAAATAGATGTGAAAAGGTCTGGACCGTGTTGGATGAGCATAGTCCTGGGTCTACAGCCTCAGTCCTGGGTAGAACCAGAACTGAGACTATAGATCCAGGACTGAGACTTGATCCAGGACTGAGACCGTAGATCCAGAACTGAGACTATAGATCCAGGACTGAGACTGTAGATCCAGGACTGAGACTGTAGATCCAGGACTAAGACTGTAGACCCAGGACTGAGGCTGTAGATCCAGGACAGAGGCTGTGGATCCAGGACTGAGGCTGTAGATCCAGGACTGAGGCTGTAGATCCAGGACTGAGACTGTAGATCCAGGACTGAGGCTGTAGACCCAGGACTGAGACTGTAGATCCAGGACTGAGGCTGTAGATCCAGGACTAAGACTGTAGATCCAGGACTAAGACTGTAGATCCAGGGCTGAGGCTGTAGATCCAGGACTGAGGCTGTAGACCCAGGACTGAGACTGTAGATCCAGGACTGAGGCTGTAGATCCAGGACTGAGACTGTAGATCCAGGAGTCTTCTACCCGTGGCTTGGGAGATACCAGTAGCTCGCCAGCCCCTTTCAGATAGCTCACCAAATGATTTAGAATGTAAAAAACTATCTTGAATGACCACATTTTGACCCATTTTATCTGTTATAAGTATAAATATGGTGTAATGGTGTAATTTACATGTCTTCTCCATGTTATGGCGTTATTATCAGATAGATGTTATTACGACTGCTCAAAGGAATAGCTCTCTACCTCTTTTTTTGTATGAAAGTAGCTCTCTGATTGAAAAAGGCTGGAGACCCCTGCTGTAGATCCTATGCTCAAAAGTCGTCGATCCTAGTTGTGTTTTCTGCTGTAGCCGTTAAACCTGAACTCCCCTCTCTCCAGAGTAATCCTCGGCAGCTCGCACCTCGCCCCGTCCTGGCCCTACATTATTATCTGCTTCTCAAAAACGCCCTGAGGAGGAGCACGACCGGTTGTTATCACCAAACTCTCGGCTCCGGCACTAATTGGCAGTTGTCCAAATCGGCGTGCCTCCTCAGCAGCTCCAGCCCTGAGCCTTTCTTCTGTTGGTTTTTGCCGCACGGAGATGGTCCACTTCATTTATGGTTCAGACCGGTGCCGAGGATCACGCTGAGACGCTGATTATCTCCTCTCCACATGGCGCCCGTGTGGGATGGCATGTTTTCAAAAAGGCCATTTGGAAATCTGGATCCAAACAGACTTAGTCCCAATTATTAGAGAGCGGGGGCGTGTTGTGTGTTTTATGAGGTTGTTAATATCAGGTTTATTTCCCCTGATTGTTGCTTGTTGGCTCGCTCCGGCTCCAGTCCTGACCCGGGGCGGGAGAAGGCGAAAATGTGACGATTCGATAGCGAGAGGACTTTACAAAACTGTTGATTCGCAAACATAGATGAGAGAATCAAACACACATAGAGCCATTGGTCCATCAGGAGCGGAGACCAGAGTCCATAAATGTGGTGGAATGTCTCTGGTCTTCCTGCTTCGCAAAGGAGCAGATAAAAACTCAGAGGGATAGGCAGCTCCCAGACTCTCTCTGGTCTCTCTCTTTAATCTCTCTCTCTCTTTCTGGTCTCTCTCTCTGGTCTCCTTCATTGGTCTCCATCTGGTCTCTCTCTAATCTCTCTCTCTCTGGTCTCTCAGATCTCTCTCTCTGGTGTCTCTCTCTCTAATCTCTCTCTGGTCTGTCTCTCTGGTCTCTCTCTAATCTCTCTCTAGTCTCTCTCTGGTCTCTCTCTCTAGTCTCTCTCTGGTCTCTCTCTGGTCTCTCTCTGGTCTCTCTCTGATGTCTCTCTGGTTTCTCTCCCAAGTCTCTCCCTCTCTGGTCTCTCTCTCTCTCTAATCTCTCTCTCTGGTCTCTTTCTGGTCTCTCTCTGGTTTCTCTCTCCCTAGTCTGTCCCTCTCTGGTCTCTCTAATCTATCTCTATAGTCTCTCTGGTCTCTATGTCTGGTTTTCCTCTGGTCTCCTCCAGTCTCTCTCTCTGGTCTCTCTCTCCAGTCTCTCTGGTCTCTACAGTATGTCTGGTTTCTCCGGTCTCCCTCTGGTCTCCCTCTGGTCTCCCTCTGGTCTCCCTCTGGTCTCCCTCTGGTCTCCCTCCAGTCTCTCTCTCTGGTCTCTCCCCTGTCTCTCATTCCTGCCTCTCTCTCTCTCTGTTAATAAATCAGTAACATGTTTGGGGAAATATTTCCGTTGGTTCTTTCCGGAGCAGTCAAAATGGCGGCTGTCGGAGTTCCGGTGTTAAACACGGAGCTGAAGCAGTAGGACATTTCTCACAGCTGCTGTTTTCCAAAGTGTGTCTCACAAAGGTCACTGGGACAAAGAGTTATCTGTCATCACTTTGAGGTCACTAAAGCTGAGGTACCTAACTTTTCAGTCCCATAAATAACTCATGTTGTTTCTCCCGACAGAAAGTAAATGTAGAAGGAGACCACAACCTGCTGTCTTCATATAATGATAAAAAATGTTGATATTGTGTAAGAAAGATCGCTGTGAGTCACTATTATTATTATTATTATTATATTGGCCTCTTTGAGCTGAGAGCTGATTGGCCGAGTGAGGGTGGTCCTCTCTTTTTCACTTTTCTGTATGAAAAAGATGATGTAATGATGTAGAAATACTTTTGGAAACTGGTGAAAGAACCCCAACCCTCTCTCCTGTCTCTTTCCAATCTCTCACTTTGGTCGCTCTGGTTGATCTCAGGCCTCTTTCTGGTCCCTGAAAGGACTGAGGCTGTAGACCCAGGACTGAGGCTGTAGATCCAGGACTGAGGCTGTAGATCCAGGACTGAGGCTGTAGACCCCGGTTTTCGTTGCTTCTGCTTTTGTAACAGTTTCCGTCTGTTGCTGTGGCAGCTCTTGTCGACATGTGATCTTTGTATTTAGTTCCTAGTAAAGGCTTTGGGTGACCTTCTCTGTAGAAATGTGCTATGAAAATAAGGATTACTTAAGTACTTACTTTCCATAGGGTTCCATTGTGGTACTATTGTCTCAAAGTGTGTTGAATATATTTTAATACGATAGAAAGTATGAATGGAGCAATATTTGAATACATTGGACCACTCTAGCCAACAACACTGATTGCACTGATCTGGGGTTGCTCTGGTCTCTCTCTCTCTCACTAATCTCTCAGGTTTTGCTCACAGGTCTCTATCTGGTCTCTCTCTCTCTGATATCTCTTTTTAGTCTTTCTCTGGTTTCTCTCAGGTCTCCATATCCTTTCTCTTTGGTCTCTCTCCCTCTGGTCTCTCTCTGGTCCCTCTCGGGTCTCTTTCCGGTCTCTCCCTGGTCTCTCTCTAGTCTCTCTCTGGTCTCTCTCTGGTCCCTCTCGGGTCTCTTTCCGGTCTCTCCGTGGTCTCTCTCTAGTTCTCTAGTCTCTCTCTGGTCTCTCTCAGGTCTCTCTCTGGTCTCTCTCTCTGGTCTCTCACTGGTCTCTCACTGGTCTCTCTCTGGTCTCTCTCTGGTCTTTCTGGTCTCTCACTGGTCTCTCTCTGGTCTCTCTCTGGTCTTTCTGGTCTCTCACTGGTCTCTCTCTGGTCTCTCTCTGGTCTCTCTCTGGTCTTTCTGGTCTCTCACTGGTCTCTCTCTGGTCTCTCTCTGGTCTCTCACTGGTCTCTCTCTGGTCTCTCTCTGGTCTCTCTCTGGTCTCTCTCTGGACACCTGGTGCAGATATCTTGGAGAGACCTGAGGCTTGGTTTAGCAGCCCTTCCTCTCTCTCCCCCTATCTTTTGGAAGCAGTGGAGCGGAGGGGCGAGCAACAGCCTGGG